TTATTGAGAAAATCTTATTAATTTTATGTTAGATAGTCAGTGGACTTGATTTTACACTTGGAAGGATATTGAAAATATTCCTGTGTGACTGAACCTAAAGTTGTTGGATGTAGAAACATATCATTCTGAACAGGAACAGGGGCTTTCCTGAGCTACTATTTCTGATGATTTGTCTGTGTTTACATACTTTTTAAATCTACATTCTCAAATGAAATGAATCTACCACTTTTTGACGCGCAAATCTGCTTCAACTATTTAACACCTCTGGAAGCTTTCTGAAATGCAAATGCATGAATGGAAGCAATATTTATTCACTTTTATGCAAACTTGAATCACCTATATCTAAGTTAGATTTATGGAACTGAAATATTGAACAAAACATTTATTTTTAACCAGATGTTCTAAACATCTGTGTGCTAAAATGTACTATAATCTTGCAAAACAGGTAATTTTTGTGGGAATTTTGAATCTTTAGAATTTATCACACTGAGCATTTACAATACAGAGAAGGAAAAAGTTAGTGAAAGACATTTGTAAAAAATAAAGTTGTTTTACCTGGATACTACTATTATTGCAGGACTTATAATTTTGCATTTAAAGTGTTGGATTAGCTCTTTATTCACCAGACCAACATGGGATCAATGAATGTTTAATGGGAGAGGCTTCACTAGTTTCAAAAGTGGCGATCTCACAGGGCAAAACAAAAATAACCCATTTTAAACAACTGAACTAGCCTAGGACTGGTCACAATTTATCTAAAAAGGGCTTCAGTTATAGTCATTTTGTTTACTGTATGTGCATTTTTTGGGGTGATACCTGATGAAGGCTTTGTAAAATGCTATAAGAAGCTCAGATCAATTTCAAGGGTGCTTCATATACACTATATTGCCAAAAGTATTTGCTCACCCATCCAAATTATTGGAATCAGGTGTTCCAATCACTTCCATGGCCACAGGTGTATAAATTCAAGCACCTAGGCATGCAGACTGTTTTTACAAACATTTGTGAAAGAATGGGTCGCTCTCAGGAGCTCAGTGAATTCCAGCGTGGAACTGTGATAGGATGCCACCTGTGCAACAAATCCAGTCGTGAAATTTCCTCGCTCCTAAATATTCCACAGTCAACTGTCAGCTGTATTATAAGAAAATGGAAGTGTTTGGGAACGACAGCAACTCAGCCACGAAGTGGTAGGCCACGTAAACTGACGGAGCGGGGTCAGCGGATGCTGACGCGCATAGTGCGAAGAGGTCGCCAACTTTCTGCAGAGTCAATCACTACAGACCTCCAAACTTCATGTGGCCTTCAGATTAGCTCAAGAACAGTGCGCAGAGAGCTTCATGGAATGGGTTTCCATGGTCGAGCAGCTGCATCCAAGCCATACATCACCAAGTGCAATGCAAAGCGTCGGATGCGGTGGTGTAAAGCACGCCGCCACTGGACTCTAGAGCAGTGGAGACGCGTTCTCTGGAGTGACGAATCGCGCTTCTCCATCTGGCAATCTGATGGACGGGTCTGGGTTTGGCGGTTGCCAGGAGAACGGTACTTGTCTGACTGCATTGTGCCAAGTGTAAAGTTTGGTGGAGGGGGGATTATGGTGTGGGGTTGTTTTTCAGGAGCTGGGCTTGGCCCCTTAGTTCCAGTGAAAGGAACTCTGAATGCTTCAGCTTACCAAGACATTTTGGACAATTCCATGCTCCCAACTTTGTGGGAACAGTTTGGAGCTGGCCCCTTCCTCTTCCAACATGACTGTGCACCAGTGCACAAAGCAAGGTCCATAAAGACATGGATGACAGAGTCTGGTGTGGATGAACTTGACTGGCCTGCACAGAGTCCTGACCTCAACCCGATAGAACACCTTTGGGATGAATTAGAGCGGAGACTGAGAGCCAGGCCTTCTCGTCCAACATCAGTGTGCGACCTCACAAATGCGCTTCTGGAAGAATGGTCAAAAATTCCCATAAACACACTCCTAAACCTTGTGGACAGCCTTCCCAGAAGAGTTGAAGCTGTTCTAGCTGCAAAGGGTGGACCGACGTCATATTGAACCCTATGGATTAGGAACGGGATGTCACTTAAGCTCATATGTGAGTCAAGGCAGGTGAGCAAATACTTTTGGCAATATAGTGTATATCAAGACCATTATCCTACCACCACATGTTGCCAGAAATTGCACAGTTGTTGACAAATATGGCTTAACTCACATTAAAAAACTCCATACCGTATTTCCATTCTAGCACTTTGACACTAATATAATAAAGACAATTGAATTACTTTTTGTAATTGTAACAGCAACAGGGTCAAAGTTGTTGGATGACTGACCAGAGACAGTCAGCATTTAATCTCCTTGTCCATTAGCAGAAATGCTCTATTTTAAATCTAAAATTCCTTTATGCATCTGCCCTGTACTTAACAATAACAAAATATCTGATCCCCCATCATTCTCTGTGAATCCTAACACATTTTTCTCCAAATAAGAGTGGCATCACACATCTGCAAGGCCCAACTGTCATTTTGCTCCTCTGACAGACCATCAGCAAAATAGGCTTATGGAGAAGGTGACATTCATCACAAACAGCTGCAGGCAGATGGATGATAGGCTTTTCTTCTGATCCTAGCAGATGCCTAAATAAGGTCTTCCAAAGGCATTTACTAACCAGGCTCTTACCTTGTGGACATTCTACAGTGTTTGGCTCTCTAGCCATTAATAGAATAGCTCCTGAGAAATGTTCATTTTCCAGGTATCAGGCTAGGCCAAGATGGAAAGAACTGCAGAGATTTGCAGCTACTGATGAGGGGGAATCTGTATCTCAGCGTGGCATGGTAAAGCTTAAATAGGTTTGTCACAAAGCAGACTTAAAAAACCAGAAGCTTACAATGTGCTTTAATTAAGATTGACCCAATGTGAAAAGAAAAACACACTTAACCTACAATAATTGGACACAGAGCAGATGTGGCTCACCTGGTGTTTTCATTTTCTCTATCAAAGCGTGCTGGGTTTTACATTATTTGAACAAGACTTATTATTGCCAGAAAAAAGAAAATAGCTTCTCTTTTCAGTATACAACAGTTTACAACATACAACATAGTATAAGGCTATAAATCCCTTTCAAAAATAATAACTTCCAGAGTTGTTCTCTGAGTAGAGTCATAAAACTCCTGTGAAAGTGAGTACCAATAGCTGTGCATTCATCAGTATGTCCTGGCTGATGACTTGAAATATTTAAATTGAGTCAACCCATAAAAATTAAGTATTAAGAGTTAGAGACTTGGTGTCAGGGTGACCAAATGTCAAATTTATCCAGGGCAGTACAACAATTTTCACCTCTGTTCCGCTGTCTCACAAACCGAAGCATGTCCCACATTTGATTGGGTAAAATCATAAAAATGTAAAAGAAGTTCAATGTTCCTTTCCTCAATGCGAACAGAGCAAAGCTGCAATAATTGTCACTGAACAACCCCAATGCCCCATGTCTTGACCAAGCTTTGCATAATACTTTTAAAGCAAAACATCACATTTTAACCGAAAAATATTATGGAATCTACATTAAATAAAAAGAAAACACAACTAGAAAAAAAGACTGCAGAATGGTCTGTAAGGGGACAAGCCCAGTGAGAAGTTATTGCCAGAGAGCTTTTTGTAAAGTTTGCCAAAATTATTTTTACATTTTATTCTAGGGGAGCAGAGTGTAAAGCAACACAGTAAGTCAATCAGTTGTGCATCCAGCATGATCTCTCATTTCTATTTTTAACAAGTTTGCATAGATTTTAAAGCAGGGGTCATCAACCATTTCAAGGCTGAGGGCTACTTCATGGCTATTGAATCATAGGAAGGGCTACCAATACTGACCTATGAACAAGAGGGGTCAGCGTTCACCTAAACTTTATCCAAATTAAACACATTTTTATTGTTAACTTTTAATTTCTAATTTGCCTTTAAACATTATAATTTTAAAATCTCTATAAATACTAAAATACCCTATATGATTAGATTGAAGCTCCTAAGATTCAGTGACGCAGTGAAGAGACAGAAGGGGAGTTTGTCTCCACTATTTAAATTGCTGTAATGTGACATGCAAATTGCTGGCATTATGTCAAGCAAAGGACAGTACCCGAATGTGGCAACTTTTTTGTTGGAAATACATCCAAAGTGAACGCACCAATACTGTGTGTAGATACCACACATTGACAGCTATATTAATGCTTGAAGAGCAAAAAAACAATTGTTTAACTTAACTACAGTACTTCATTCCTTTCTGGTATAAGTTTTTTTTTTCCCTTAGCATCTGAAACATTTCTTTGTCTGTTAACCAAGATACCATCAACAAACAGTAAAGTGTATAGAATATCTCCTAGGATTAGGATCTACGGAGGCGTCAGGCTTTCTCAGTTGGAGACAATAGATTCTTTCCTCTATATTCCATCAAGCGTCTCAGAGGGGCATCACTGAGGAACATAATTAATGGCTTTGTTATACAAAGTAATATTTCTAACTGATAGGCTTTTTTCACTGCATTTGCAAGCACTTTTCATAAGTCAAATTGGATTTGTACGTATATGTCGGTGTTAAAATGCACAGGTCATGGTTTACTTATGATGCTGTGTGGGAGGAAAAATAATAAATCTTGTCTCTCCATTCAGACAAGCAATGAAAAGAATGTAATAGGGTGAATACAGCACTAATGTTTCTCTTGCAGGAAATATGATTACGTAGTTGTTGCAGAACTCTGTCACATTTTTGGTCTTTGGTAGTGTAGATTTCCCTGTTAATCATGCATCATAAATTGAAACTAGGTGCTGATAGGTGTGAGAATGTCTTTATTTTATTTTATTCATTAGTTTATTAACCCAGTTATAACTGGACTTTATTTGTTTGGTTGAGTAGTAACCATTGTAATACGTAGTTCTTCAATATATTAATGTCAATATGTCTGTTTAATACATGGTAGCTCTTCTGTTTCTGAGGCTTTGATGTCAATTTTGTGTTCATGTTCCAACTGCAGGAGTCCAGGTGGAACTACCTGTTCACTTTCCTGGCATTTCCGTCATTGCTGCAGCTGTGTGTCCTACCTTTTCTCCCTGAAAGTCCCCGCTACCTGCTGATGGAAAGGAGGGATGAGGCAGGAGCTGAGCGAGGTATTTTACGAAGCAACCTGTCAAATACAATGGTGCTTGAAAATTTACATACCTTACCATTGAGGAAAATGATAAATCCACACTAGTAATTCAAATAACACAACATTGGAAAAATACAAATTTACTAAATGATAATGTAGTAAAATAAGATATTGTTTTTGAATATAAATCAACATTCCTGTCAACAGGTGCAGAAGTCTGAACATTTATTGAACATTACAGAAAGCACCTGATTTCTCAAAATGTTAGTTCAAGAGCTCCACCAGGCTTGTTTATCTCTTAATTATTATTTCTCATATATGCATTTTATATATTCAAAATCAATGTCATGATTTACATTTTCTTGCATTTTATTTATAATTCATTTTTTCAATTTCAATTTCAATTTATTTGACCTTCTTTAATGTAAACATTCATACACAACTGTATATTTGCACATGTACGGAAATTATCTTTCTCGACTTATTTATTTATCTCCAAAATGTAGAAAGACAAGAGCAAGCTATTCTTTTGATGATATACCTTTGTGGCTCAACTGAAAATAATTTATATTTCATGCTACCCAGTGTGACTCTGGAAGTCTATTTGGGTAAAAGCTTTTTTCATGTGTACTTCAATACCTACTCATATTCCAAGCCGTTCAAAGAAGAAAAAGATTTTTGCCAAACCTTTATGTCTATTATTTTCAGCCCAACTTTATATTGATTTAATTCAGTCATATTGCATTTGTTTAAGACCTCAAGCTACTGAATGTTGGAAATTAGGATCTTTCACAAACTGACTCGTCCCACCACAGTTGCCTTATACATATGAACAGTATATAAAGTTCTACATTGAAAAACATTGATAAAACAAAGAGTTTTTTTTATTTTTGCACATGCAGTTGGAAAATATGCAAAGGACAAAAAACATTTAGGGCCATTTAGAAGTTTACATATAGCCAATCTAGATAACTATTAAAATAAGGTAAAAACGTTACAGTTATTTCTAGATTGTCAGAACAGATGTAGCTGTAGTTAGACTTAGACTTGACAACATTTATTGTCATTTTGTAAATGGTAAATGGCATGTACTTATATAGCGCCTTTATTCAAGTTAGGAGACTTGACCAAAGCGCTTTACACTACATTCATTCACCCATTCACACACACTCACACACTGATGGTGGCAAGCTACATTGTAGCCACAGCTGCCCTGGGGCTCACTGACAGAAGCGGGGCTGCCGTACACTGGCGCCACCGGGCCCTCTGACCACCATCAGTAGACAATGCAGGTGAAGTGTCTTGCCCAAGGACACAACGACACTGAAGGTCGGAGTTGGGGCTTGAACCGTCAACCCTTCGATTTCAGGGCAAACTCCTACATCCAACGCCACTGTCGGTCTTTTTTTGTATACACAGAGTTTATACAAAATTAAATTTTGTTTTGTACGGCTCTCATGACATTTCCATTTCCTTAATGTGCAGCAGTGATCAAATGTAAACAGTGTGGGAGAAAAAACATGGTGCGAAAGAACAAATTGATATGGTCAGTTTGATGCCTGATGTCTGTGACATGATTTAGAGTTTTTTTCAACATTCAGCAATCTCATAGCATTGGAAAATAAGTTGTTTCGGAATCTGCTGGACCTTTATTAAATGCTACGAAGCCTCTTCCCAGAGGGCAGCAGGGAGAACAGTCAATAGTGGAGGTGTGAAGGGTCATTGATGATTTTATGGGTTCGGCCATGCAGCGCTGGGATGAAATTGAGGGAAGAGCTTCTTCCAATCTGTGGCTTTGCAGCCTCCACGCCACAAAGTGAGACAGCTGGTCAGAATGCTCTCTATGGTGCTTCTGTAGAAGGTGGTGAGGATGGGTGGGGGCAAGTGGGCTCTCCTCATCCTCCGCAGAAAGTACATATGCTTTAGTTACATATATACCCCTATTAAAGTTTTGACAAATACGTTTAGCTAGTCATACCCTGAAGACATGCCTTTCAAGCCTATTTGATTACTCATTGGAAAGTACAGTAGTAGAGGTCATTTATAAAGGTTTGCTTCTTTGGATAGCTTTTAATAATTGCCTGAGCATTTTCAACTACAGTAGGTTGAGGCTCAGGCCAAGTTACTTTAGTTTGTTTTGTAAAAGAAAAAATAGCGAGTGCTTTTATGATAAGACACCTTTGCCAAAATTTGAACAGGTTGTACAGTTACCAGGATCATAAGGCCTTAGTGTATCATTGACCGAGAGATACTATAACATTGTCACCATGTACAGTAAAAGTAGTGGAAAATGAACATGAACTCAGTGCCAACAAATAAGAGGCACCAGCTCCAAAACTATCCTGAAGCTTGACTGACATTTCTTCACTCCCATTGACAAAACAATAGATCTCTGGAGAAAGGTTTCATGGTCAGAGAAAAACCTCCAAACATTTTGATGGCAGTGTTATCATGCATCTTGAGACTCTTTAAGACACCTACCATTGGTACCAGGGCACCGAGCCTCAAAATGATCCAGCTTCACATCTAATCAACAGCTGAACAGCTGAAACATGAAGGGAATTTTCTTTTCTCAAAGGAAAATTATCCTGAATGCTCTTCAAACTGTTCAGTGAATAAACAAATGCTCTTGATTATCCACAGAAACCATGTGTGCCAATGTGTTTGTAACTTGGAAATCATAGCTAACCAAATATAAAACTCTGAGAGAGGCAAAAGTAGAATGTAGAAAACAGCATTTTTTGTTGCTCCATATAAGACCAAATTGCACATTTATGCAATAGGACAAAAGAGGCTTTATATGTGCTATTCATCCAATAAATTCATGGAATTGAGTGACAAAGTCTTGAATTTAAAAACATTTTTCAACAGCTTAGTAAATTTTTTTGTGTGTTTAATAGATGTAAATCTTTTTTTATTTTCAGAATTGGATTTTCTTACTAATGCACAAACTTTATGCATATACTTTCTGCATTGATAGAAGTTTTGTATTGTGACAACCCACCCTGTCCTATTATTACCAATCCAATGCCTTTTGGGACAGCTTAACTTGCTTTTTAGGATTTTTCCTTTGTAACCTAAATGGAACATTAGTATTTGTTCTACCTGCTTGGAAGCGGTTCCAATCTTACTGAGTATGAACGGAATGATAGAAGGTCGTGAAGGATTTGCTAGGGAGATGAGGCATTGGTTGCATGTTAACCACCAAGAATATTGTAACTTATTTCTTTAACCATTTAATCATTGTACACTGGGTTTAATGAGTATACAACCATTTTAGCAAGGTAACATTGGTTAGCTTTAGCTTGTTCTAATGCATCATTTAGCTTGTATCCTTTAGCTTCATACAGTTCGATAGCTTTCCTCTTTCTCCTGTTATTTAACCAGAGTGCCTCATCTTGCCGCCTGCAGCCTTCAACTGCTCTTTTAATATGAGCCTCACTAAAATTCTTAAATTGTGCAGAAGGGCCTCCTTTCTTGCCCCATATGAACATAGGTGTTGCTTTAACATGAGTACCCAGCCGAAAATTGTCATTATAATAAACTGTAAGGAAAAAACACCCTTGCAGAGAAGTTTCAGGACAAACTCTTTGTGCCTCCTCACAAACTCTCTGTTGATGTCTTTGAATTAACTGGTTCCCAAATATGTCCTATAGAGATGTGAATTTTAGTTAAAGATGCCATCTTAAAATTCTAACACCATGACAGCCACCTGGTTGCTGTCAAACAAATTTCTATATTTATATCAAACACATTAGTACACTTGAAGATATAGACGGCCATCCTAAACAGCCAGATTGGGCAACATCTCAACCTGGCAACAATGCACGTAAGATGGAAAATGTTAGCCTTTAGATGCAAAACCCCATAATGCACCGCAACATATTTTTGAAAAATATTCGAACATAAGTTCTCCAAATATAAGAGGAACATTGTGGTTTGGTTTAAACAAAAAAAAAAAAATAGTTTTATTGTAATTTAGTTTGTTGCAAGGATTTTACAAATGAAGAAATAGGATTTTACAGTTTGAAGAAATAGACAATTACACCATATGCTGGCCGTCACAAGGATGTGCATGACAAGGAAGGGCTATATATACTGCATGCATCATTTAATTAGTTAACATTGTATTACTTCTTGAGCTCCTTGAGTTAAGTACCGTCACAGGTAGGTGTTTTGGCCGGAGAGTAAGTGTTGGGACCGGTATGACTTAAGGAGGGCCGGCCCTCGCACACTGAAATTAAGACCGGCCAACCGGGGAAAAGGTTGAAACTCAGTGGAGCACATTTATATATAGCTTACTCTCCCAATGTCTTTGTTTTTAATAGCTTCTTTCACCAAACAAATATGTCCAGTCTGAGTTGTATTTGTTATTTGGATCTTTATCTAGTTTAGAAAGATATTTAGAAAAGCACAAAATCATTTACAGAAACAAAATGGAGATAGCTTTTACTCATTAACAATTAAAGATGAAAAATTCAAGTTTTTTCTAAATACACCATTTTACTTCGGTGCAATAATCTGCTTCTGTACTATGATAAAGATTGCCCTCTAACCCAAAGACTATTGTCTTGTTTAAGAACATCTTGCTTGACATACCTCAGTTCTACCCAGGTACGTGTTGCTGGTACAGACCTGCACTTTGCAGGATTTTAGTGCTGTGGTTGTTGCTGCGCTGTAGTTAAGGGACTTGTTGTTAATGCTCACAGATCTTGCAGACTGGCTCCTTGGTGTCCCATTAACATCACATAGTGCTAGACAGTAACAGCATGTTCTCTTGCTACCCCACCTGTTTCCTGTCATGCGACATAGCCACAGTGGTTTGCCATTAGTGATTTCAGAGTTTAAACATGAAAACAAATCTATGTCAAAGGCTGTCAAAGAAATCTCTTCACAGTTGATTTCAAAGTAGTTGGAGTTTTGTTTTTTGTTGTTGTGTATCTGCTTCTGCTCTGTCAGTACTCAGTGTGTATTTATCGAACATTTGTTATACATACCAAAGGTAATATGAAAGTGTTT